CCCCCATGGCCTCTCCTCCACCTACATCCCACCCAATCCACTGCAGTGACCAGGCCAGTCCCTGGCTCACAACCCAGGCGGCCCCCCATTGTTTGGAAACCTAACACTCCCCTCCTTGGTGAGGCTCAGAAGCCCAACCTCATCTTCTGCAATTACTCGCCCAACCTCACCTCCACCTCCCGACAGGCCCCTTCACACACTTGGATGCTCAAGAGTCCTGAACACACCAGAGCTCCCTGCCTTCAGCGAGAGCTGGGCCCCGGCCCTCTGCCGAGAGCACCACTTAGAAGGCAGGGTCATCGCTAGGGTGTGTTCCGGGCCCCCTCCTGCCAGGCAGTCTGGGGGTCCTGCTGTCCCCCTTCATTTAGCACTGATCACTCTCCAGGACCTGCCTGTCACTCCATCCGCCCTGGCCCTCCCTGTTTAACTTGATGGTTTGCTCACTTATTGCTGCTTATCAGACAGGCAACCCGAGTGTCAGTCGGAGCTAAAACCTTCCAGTTCTGAACACCCAAGAGCAGCTGCTGTGGCTCAAGAAATGCAGGCTGCCACCACCTGTCCCCTACTCCTGGCAATGACGAAAAACACGCAGGAAAGAGAGTGAGGTATCCCTTGGGGAGGAGGGATCTGTAACAGGGAGAACCAGCCAGAATGGGACCTGGCCGGGAAGCTGCATACCAGCCCACGCTCCCACATAGGACAGCGCTGGGCAGTGTGGGCGCCGCTCAGGGGCTGCAGCCTGGGAATGGGACACAGGGACACCAAAGGCACAGGAGAGTGGGCAGGAACCTAAGGGCTCCTTGTTAAGGACCCTATTACCTGTAGGGAGTGACATCTGCTGACCCATCTTAGAAGTGCATCTGCATCAGCCATTGGCCTCCTGTGAAGAGCTTGGGAAAACTAGGGCTCCTGTCCCTCCCTCAGAGGGTGATGCCCTGTGGGCGTCTGGCGGCAAGCTAAGAGTAACATCTCTCTGGGTGGTAATACTGTCGGCGTCCTGTGAAGGAGAAAGAGAAAGGAGGAGACACAGGAGCAGAAATGCAGCGAACACAGACAAACCGTGCCGCTCCGTCAGGCTGAGCTTCTTTCTTTATGCGTGTTACCAGGCACAGGGAACCGCTTGCAAGCTTTCAGGGCTGCAGCTGAAGCGCTACAGTTAGAGATAAGGACGTTACTGTCTGTTTCTTCACCTTGTTGCTATCGTGATGCTGTTACGCGTCATAGGTCAATCCAGATGACGTAGGCTATTCCTCTGCAACTCTGAGGAAGGCTGCCTGAGTGTGCGTCAAGGAAGATAATGTATAAGTCATAAGCATTGTATAGGACAGGCACTGCACGACCTAGCCAGGGTCAGGATGTTTCCTGGTCCCCCAGTTGGTCTTTCAACAGAGCCTCTAGCATCTAAGGTATGTGTCAGCCAGCCCCAGTGACGCATACCCTCACATATCCCCTTTTCTTGTTTTCTTTTCTTTTCTTTCTTTTTTTTTTTTTTTTTTTGAGAGTTTTTTGCTATAGGATGCGTGCGCTGCCAGAAGGACAGAGAGAGACACAGACAGAAATCAGCCCCGGGGGGATGGCCACGCCGCAATCCCTTCTCCTCC